TGATGATGATGATGATGATGATGCTGATGATGATGATGATGATGATGATGATTGATGATGATGATGATGATGATGATGATGATGATGATGATGATGATGATGATGATGATGATGATGAGGAGGAGGAGGAGGAGGAGGAGGAGGAGGAGCAGAAGGAGGAGGAGGAGGAGGCACAGAGGGTCCGAGGCGGAGGAGGAGGAGGCACAGAGTGTCCGAGGCGGAGATCTGTCCACTCTGCGTCTGATTCTAGGCCTCCTAGATGGGGTCGGAGTAGATTGGGTCGGAGGGTCGCGCTTCATCGCACATGCATCGGCAATGCATCGGCGATGCGGCTCGATGTGAGGCTCAATTTTCTCCACGCCGGCGTCGCCGATGCATCGCCGACGTCGCCAGTGCATGGCCGATGCATCGCCGATGCATCGACGATGCATCCCCGATGTATCGGCGATGCGGCGACATCTTCCGATCCCATCTACTCGGACCCCATCCAGGAGGCCTCTACTGATGGAAGAAACTCCCTGGGAGGGCTTGTCTAAGAGGGGCTGTCCAGGGGCATGTCCAGATCCCCGCCGGGCTGTGCACGCAAGGGGTTGCCTGGGGCAGGTCGCCTCGTCGTCATGCGTCAGCACGGTTGTCCGGGGTGTCTGGGGGGAGCAGCCTGGTGAAACGATCTTCGGGGACCTCGGCAGGCGGTGGATCTGGATATATTCGGTCCCCCTCTGACCCAAACACACACACAAACACACACACACACGTATATGTTCACATGTATGTATGTCTAAATTTGTATATGGGCATACCATGCATGTCTGTCTGTCTGTCTGTCTGTCTGTCGGTCTGTCTGTCTGTCTGTCTGTCTGTATGTATGTATGTATGTATGTATGTATGTATGTATGTATGATGTATGTATGTATGTATGTATGTGTGTGTATGTATGTATGTATGTATGTATGTATGTATGTATGTATGTATGTATGTATGTATGTATGAATGTATGTATGTATGTATGTATGTATGTATGTATGTATGTATGTATGTATGTATGTATATATGTATGTATGTATGTATGTATGTATGTATGAATGTACCTATGTGGGTAGGTAGGTGGGTAGATGGGTAGCTATGTACGCGTATACAAACATCTATAGCTATTCACGCCCACCGCCCGCTAGGATGCCAGGTCGTTGGTTCCCCGGCGCTGGTCCTTGACCATGGACAGATTCCCGCCTCGCAGCAGAGGGCTCGAGGCATCAAGGATGGGCGGCGAGCGAGGGAGGGAAGCGAGACGGGGCGGGCCTTCTCTGAAGGCTCGGAAGTCCCCTGGACTTCTGAGAAGTTTACGAAGCCTTCCCAAGAAGACGCGGAAGACTTCTCTGAAGGTGCGGGGGCTTCTGCGAACTCCCGCCGCTTTCTGAGAAGGCCTTCTCCTTCTCATTATTTCCCCCCTCGCTCGCCGCCGAAATGAAGCGCAGGCATAGGTGAAGGCAGGCGCATGGGTTGGCGACGGGCCCCGCTGCCATCCGAGATCGGCGCGCTGCATCGCCAACTCGGGCGGCACTGCTTCGGGAATACCCGATCTGTGTTCTGGCGCCCAGGCGCCAGGTCCACGGATCCGTAATCCATGGTACAGTCGAGCATCCGATTAAGAGACCTCCCTCCGAATAGTTGGGCCAGCGTCTCTTGACCAACCTGCCGGAAAGAGCTGGCCCAGTTTCTTGAGCACGTTCACCCCTCCAGCATTAAGAACAGATCGAGACTCAAGGGATGGGGGTCAATGCAAACGGCAGTCAGCCAGGGCGCTGGATCTTGCAGGATCCTTTAGGGCCAGGGCTGCACTGACCCAGATTTGGGTGCAGGATCCTGCAGGATTCTGGAGGATTTTGACGGATCCCGCAGAGCCTGATTGATCGGGGTTTGGATTGACCCGGGTCCGTAGATCCCCGAACAGAAGTTGCCCCAGGCTTGGTTCAAGAAACCGCCGGGAAGTTGGCCCACATATCTTGAGTGATAATTTTGTCGATCATATTTTCGGGTGTAGCGTGCGCTTCGGTAGCAAACCATGGGAGCCTGGTGTACCCTCTTAATTCCGTCTGCAGCGTCGACTAGCGTCGATTAGCGTCTGGGAATCGATGAGGTAGTGCCGATTTGGCGCCGGCCAGCGTCGATTAGCGTCGATTCAGCATCGATGCGCATCGATTCGCAAGATCCGACAGGATGGTACGGGAGGCTCGCGTGAATTGCCACCGAAGACGGCAGGGCCCCGCCATCGGGGGGGGGGGTCGGGAGGTCGTCAGCTGCTCTCTGCGGCGGACGGCCAGCAGAGGGCGGCCTCCCAGGGCTCGGGTCGATTCCTCCGACTCGGTTCGACTTGACTCCGCTGGCTTCTGACTCCGCTTCGATCCGGCGAAGGCTTGCAAACAAAAAACCTTGAACGAAGGATTGCAACAAAAAACCTTCGGCTTGTTTGCAACCCTTTGTTTTTTTGCAACCCTTCGTTCACGAAGGGTTTTTTTTTGCAATCCTTCGTTCCTGGATTCCGAGCCGGACTGTCGTCCGACCTCGATGACCCGGAGGCCCGCGGGCCTGCCGAGCTCCGCCGGGTTCCGCTTCGGTCGTGCGGGCCGGCTCCTCGAGCCGACTCCGGGGCACCTCTTCTTTGCCCCCCCAGAGATGTCCTCCCCCCAGGAGGTCCAGTCCTGCTGTAGGGGAAGCAGCCACCGATACAGACACGAAAAAACTCGGAGGTCCGCGCGGATGGCTCGGAGCGGCGTCGGTGCTGTCCGGCTCCTCGATCCGATTCTGGGGCACCTCCTGCCCCCCTGAGATGTCCTCTGGGGGCAATATGTATACTCCAGATTTCGTAATAAAGGGAGGGGGGTCTCATTTCGGGGGGGGTCTCTTCCAGGCTATCTTGGAGGGCCTGGGGGGGTCTGGGGACGATGTTCTGGAGGGTTCTCCCACGGGCGGGGTCTGAAATGGCTTGTCTTGGAGGGTTGAGACCCCCTCCCTTTTATTACGAAATCTGGAGTATCCGTATCCAGTGCGTCTTGGACTTTCTTGGAAGGGGCGCCGCAAGGCCGAGGCGCACTGGATATGGATAAAAATCTAGCCTTTTGGCTGCAGGTGATAATCCATATCCAGTGCGCCTCATGTTTCTTGGGAAGATGGTCCCAAACTCCAAGACGCCCTGGATGTGGATATAGACATTGCCCGCATCCTCCCCCCAGGAGGTCTAGGTCTGCCAAAGGGAAACAGCCATCGATATAAACATGAGAACTTGGAGGTCCGCGCGGATTGCTGGGATCGGCGCCGGGCCCCCCTCCCCCGGCGCGCGGAGCGCGCCGGGGGCGGCGCCGGAGGCGCCGCCACGGGGCCCCAGCGCCGATCCGAGGAATCCGCGCGGACCTCCGAGTTTCCATGTTCATGTCATTGTCTGTTCTCCCAGGGGGCCGCATGCGAACCCTACCCCTACCCCCCACGATTTCTGAGGGGGTGGGGGGGGGTTCACTTCGCTCGGGAGCTCCCGGGCGGAGTGAACTCCCCCCCCCTTCAGAAATCGTGGGGGGTAGGGGCAGGGTTCGCATGTGGCCCCCTGGAGTTTCCATGTTCGTGTCACTGTCTGTTCTCCTATACTTCCGTGGAAGGGGAGGGCGCTTCGGCAGCGGCCCGTGTGTACTCGTGGTAGGCTCGGGTCGTGCCGGTGCGGCAGCGGCCCCCGGCGCGGGCGTTCCAGGCTGTTTTTCGCGCCGCCAGCCGCCCAGAGCTCGGCCACTCTGGAGCGTGTTCTGGCGATCGATCAGGCGCCAGTCGTTCCAAGCATTCCTCCTTCTCCTCCACCTCCTCCTTCTCCTCCTCCTCCTCCTCCTCCTCCTCCTCCTCCTCCTCCTTCTGCTCCTCCTCCTCCTCCTCCTCCTCCTCCCTCCTCCTCCCCCTTCTCCTCCTTCTCCTCCTCTCCTCCTCCTCCTCCTCTCCTCCTCCTTCCCCTCCTCTTTCTCCTCCTCCTCCTCCTCCTCCTCCTCCTCCTCCTCCTTCTCCTCCTCCTCCTCCTCCTCCTCCCCCTATTCCTCCTCCTCCCCCTTCCTCCTCCTCCTCCTCCCCCTGGCGATCGGTGCTAGAACTAGCGACCTTGCCGTACGGGCGTTTGCCAACCTGCCTGCCGCGCTCCACCGCTTTTTGAAGGTTTGCCCCCCCTCGGCTCGTCGCCACGACTGCGAACCGGGGGTTTTCGCCCGTGTGTCCGACGACCAAAGGCTGTCGCTCATGCTAGCCCGTGGTGTCGTTCAGGGTAGATCATGGAAGCGCCAGGGCCCGCCTCGCTTCGTTCAGCGCTTCCTCGGAGGTTCCCAGCACTCCTCCTGTGTGACGTCTGGGCCAGGGCGCCAACCTCTGAGTGTCTGCCGAGCGCCACCGCACCAGGGTGAAGTCGGGCACACCCCTCTACAGGAGGAATGTTAAAAAATTGCTGAAACATATTATGGAGACGATCTTCTGTTACTTGTGACTCTTTTCTATATGTTTTGGCTACTTTCCATTTGTCCTTGGAAATCCGCCTGTAGGAGGAGATGCCCGACCCAGCCCCGGGGCTGCCGTGGGAGGGGCGGCGCGGGCTTCGACGAGGCCCGAGGGGCCCTCGGAGGTGCCCCAGGCTGCAGGCGGTCCCCGTCCGCGCCTCCCCAGAGCGCCGCCGCCGTCGGACAGCCGCCGACGCAAAACATGTGTGTCCCCATGGGCCCCTGCAAGCTGTTGCCGCGCGCGTCCGCCTCGGGCCGAGCTCCGTCAGCCAGGTGCCCGCGGCAGGCCCCGCCGCTGTGCTGGCGCAGCAGCGCAGCCGGAATCGGAGATGGCCAGGGCCCCCCGCACTCCCCCATAATTGGCGCCTTGTTCGAGACAGTTGCACTAAGCAGAGGTCCGGAGCCAGACCCTCCCCTCCCCCCCCTTCCGCCCAATGTCGAGACGCCAAATACGAAAACTCTCACCAAGGGGAGCGGGTTCGTCATTGGGTCCCGAAGTCCCAGGCATGAGCCAGAATTGCGACACCGAGTCTGCCGCAGCTGGTGATTCTCTGGGTGACGGCAATTTCTGGGTAGTGGAATTGGGCGAGGGGGGCGCGCCCCTTGCTGAACATCATTCAACTCGGTCCCGCGAGTCCCAGTCCTGCAGGCGCCCGATGGAAAAAAGGGTCGAGCTTAAGTCCAGATCCAGTTCGTTCTCTTGTTTGAAGTGGCGCGGGTCTTGCACGCCTTCGTTTTTTGTCCGCAGCATGTGTCTCTCCTTTTCGCCTTTGTCCTCGCGTTCCTTGTCGAACGCGTACTGGAAGTTTCTTGGGAGGCTCCCTTGGGCCTCTTGAGGGCCTCTTTGGCTCTCTCGGGTCCTCTTGGGTGCCCGTGGGGGGTCTCTGGGGCCGTCTTGGGCGCAATGATTCCGCCGAGCTCTCCCGACGAGGCTCGGTTGAACTATTTTGGGGACGTCTGGGCGTGTCTTTGGGCCGTCTTGAAGCGCTCTTGGGTTGCTTAGGAGGCTTCTCGGACTGTTTCGGGTCAGGGCTCTCTTAGTGAAGTTTTGGACAGTCTTGGGCGTTAATTGGGGCTATGTGAAGCTTGCCCAGAATGGTTTGAAACCGAAACGCCTCGGAAGCAAAAACGTATATTCACTGGCTTCCTGCTCTTTCTTCTCTTCCTCCTCCTCCTCCTCCTCCTTCTCCTTCTCCTCCTCCTCCTCCTCCTCCTCCTCCTCCTCCTCTTCCTCCTCCTCCCCCTCCTCCTCCTCTCCCCTCCCAGTTTCCGCGCTCCCTCCCCTCCGCCCTCTGACTCCTCCGGTTAATTGCTGTTTCTTGTTCGTTTGCCCACTGATTGTGGCGTTCATCGTGTTCTCGTGTTCTCCCATCGATCTTTGATTGTCAGTCGTCGATCCTACGGCAGCGCTGCCTAGAAGACTGGCATCCAAGACCCCGAGAGCGTGAAGAACTGCTCTCTTGCGTCTGCGAGCAGCCTCTCGCCTCTCGTCCAGCCCCCCCTCTTGAAGATAATTGGAATCCGCTTGAGGGCTTTTTGGGAGCCTCCAAAGGGGGCTCGTTTGGGCCTCTTACAGTGGAAGCCCATGCCAAGAAACATCCTGCTTGCGTCCAGGTTGCCCCAGATTTCTTGGGTTTCGATGGTTTAGCTTTGGAGAGCACGGCGTTCCCACACCAAGAATCAATGGAGGTCCTGGGGTCTCATGGTTGGGTTTCTTGTGGAAGGTTTCTTGTGGGGCCTCTCGGGGCTGTCCCTGGCCGCCTGAGGCGCCTATTGGCCCGTCTTGGGACCGCTGTCCGCTGTCTTGCGACCCCCTCTTGGGGTTCTTTCAGGCCGTCTTGGGCGCCTCTCGGGCCCGTGGCGTTCCCGTCGGCACGATCGGTGTCCCGATTGGTGTCCCGGTTGGTGTCCCGTCGGTGTCCCCACTGGCGTCCCGATTAGTGTTCTGGTGGTGTCCTGGTGGCGTTTCGATCCCGATGGTGCCTCGAGGGTGTCCATGTGGTGTCCCGATAGGTGCCCCGCGTGGTGTTCCGACGGTGTCCTGATGGTGTCCCTGTGGTGTTTGCATGGTGCCCTGGTGGCGTACCGATGGCGCCCTGGTGGCGTCCCGATCGTCGGCGGGTGGGGGGTGAGATCGAAGTACGTGTCGTCGGCGGAGAAACCCCGCTGGGAAATCGGTTTCGGTTTCGGGTTCGTGTGGTGCGTGCGGGCGAGGCGAAGCTGCGTGGGCGGGCGAGAGGGTTGACCCCGCTGCTGCCAGGGTGGGGCAAGACACTTGTCCGAGCCTCCCCCCCTGGTGGGCGGGCCGTGGCCGTCGGTGTCCCGTCGCGGTGTCCCGCCGAAACGAGCGGCTCCGCTTTGACTGGGGAGGGACAAGACCATTGCCCGAACCTACCCCCCCCCGTGGTGTCCCGTCGGTGTCTTGTCGGTGTCCCGTTGGGGTCCCGCTGGTGTCCCGTCGCTGTCCCGTCGGTGTCCCGCTGGTGTCCCGTCGGTGTCCCGTCGGTGTCCCGTCGGTGTCCCGTCGGTGTTCCGTTGGTGTCCTGTGGCTGTCCCGTCGGTGTTCCGTAGTGAGATTGTTAGTGAGATCGATTGTGGAACTGAAAGTGAGATCGATACTGAGATCGATAGTGAGATCGGTAGTGAAGTCGATCGCGAGATCGATAGTGAGCTTGATACCGATACCGATAGTGAGATCGATAGTGAGACCGATAGTGGCATCGATAGTGAGATTGATGGTGAGATCGATAGTTGGATCGATGGTGATATCTATTGTGTGATACGTTGGTTCCTCCCCCCCGAACCCTCTTTATCACCCGAAGTGTGGTCGTATAGGTGTGCAGGGAATGGCAGTTCGCCAAATGGAATGCGACGATGTGTGTGTTGGTCGGGGCTCTCGTCAGGGTCGCCCTGAGCTCTCTAAGGACATCCCCGAGGTTTCCAGAGTTGTCCCGAGGCCATACTGAGACTTCTTGGTGCCGCTTGGGGTCCCGCGAAGAACGGAGGAGGAGGAGGAGGAGCAGGAAGAGGAGGAGGAGGAGGAGGAGGAGGAGGAGGAGGAGGAGGAGGAGCGAGGAGGGAGGAGAGAGGAGGGAGGAGGGAGGAGGGAGGAGGAGAAGGAGGAGGAGGAGGAGGAGGAGAAGGAGGAGGAGGAGGAGGAGGAGAAGGAGGAGGAGGAGGAGGAGGAGGAGAAGAGGATGGCGAGACAACTTGGAGGCTGTGGAAGCCATCTCGAAGCCGTCGGAGGCCGTCCGGGAGCAGGCCCGGGGCGGCTGGGGCCGCCGGCACTGCTGGCACTTCCCCTCCCCCCTCCCAAACCGGCCAGAGCTCCCAGGGGAGGGGTTTGGGTCGGGACAACATGCTCATACGCCGTAGACTTCAAGGGGTCTCCGATTACCGCCGTCATGCCCGTGCCTGTATCCGATGGGCTCGTTCATAGCCCCCGTGAGGGGAAGCGGATCTCATGCTCAGTGCCCCGGGACGGGCCTCATGCGTTTGCTCGTGCACTGCGGTCGTGATCATGCAGGAGAAAAAAGACTTCAAGGGGTCTCCGGATTCACGTTCGGTCTGCAACGCCTTTCGCATGTGATGGCCCAGCCGGAGGCCTCTTGGGGGGCTCCCGAAGGCCTCTTGGGGAACCTTGGGTGGACCCTGGAGCCCAGGGGAGCATGGTTGGGCCGTCTTTGGATGGTCCTGCGGCGTCTTGCGGCCGTTCAGGGGGTTCTTTGGTTGTCTTGAGCAGTCTGGAAGCCGAAATGTGCGTCTGTGTTTCTGAGCGCTCTCAGAAGCCTTCCCGAAGCGATCACAGGCCGAACAGCCTCGGAAACAAGACGAAGCACACCATTCGCCAAACCGTGCTTGCACTTCTGGGGTCCTTGCTGGAATGACTCTGGCATTGGATGGGCCTGCCCGGATTTCGCCCGGAGCCTGCTTGGCGGGGCGCCCTTGGGCGCCGCGCGGGCGCTTCGTGTTGGGCGGGTCTGCCGAGGTTTCGCTCGGCGCTGGCCCGCGGGCGCTCGCGGGCGCCTCGTGGTTGCGCCTGGCGGGCACCTCTTGCGCCGGGTTGGCCCGCCGAGGGTTTCGCCTGGTGCCAGCCTCGTTCGCTGGGCGGCGGCATCGGCTTGCACTGCGTAGCTTTTGCCACGCAGCTCGCTTGCGCCACGTAGCTTGCACCACACAACTTGCACCACATAGCTTACACCACACAGCCTGCAGAAACATCTGATTGCGCACAACCTACACCAGCTTGCACCACATAGCTTACACCAGACAGCTTGCACCACATATGACGCACCACATGGCTTATACCACTTAGTTTTTGCCATAAAGCTAACGCATCCACGGTGCAACAAGAGGGGCCAAACGCGACGGCGACGACGAAGACAAGGACGACGACGACGACGCCGACGCTGACGGCGACGACGACGACGACGGCGTCGAGTCAAACAGAACAGCGTCTTCCACACGCCAACGGTGTCGGCGGATTTCTACTGGGGTCTTGGGACCGTGCTGGGCGCGATGGTTCTGGAACTTGCTGTGGAGCTGCTGCCAGCTTGGGGCCTCGGGAGGGTCCTTGGGCCGCCTCGGGCAGGTCGTGGCGCCTCTTGCAGCCATCCCGGTGCGGCCCGGGGCAGTCTTGGAGCCGTCCTGGATCTGTTGGCGGACCCCAAACGTGGTGGTGAGAACACCTGGTGGTGAGTTTGGGGCGATTTGGGTAATGGTTTTCGAGCGCTGCCTGGCCCAGGAAACGCAAAACCTCGTGGCGACCGCGTGTCCCCCCAAACCCGGTGGTGACCCAGAATTGTTCTTTGGGGGGAATCGGGGTCACCACCGGGTGTCTCACCACCTTGTTTGGAGACCACCAAATCTGAGAAGGGAGGAGGGAGGAGGAAGGAGGGAGGAGGGAGGAGGGAGGAGGAGGGAGGAGGAGGGAGGAGGGAGGAGCCTTCCTCCTCTCCTCCTCCTCCTCCTCCTCCTCCTCCTCCTCCTCCTCCTCCAGGCTGCTGCGAGCATCGAAGGGCTCGCCGCCGCTTCGATGCTCGCAGCCTGTTGGCTGCTGGTGCCGGGAGGCGGCCCTGTCCGCCTGACGGGCTGCCAGGACTCGACGGGAGTCTCGGGCAGGTCTCTGCAGATCTGGGCAGCGCAGGGCGGCACGGCACGGCCCGACGTGTTCGGATTCCGGCGGTACGTAATGACGTGGATCAAACAACACGGCCCCCAGGTGCGTCGTGTTCGACCTGGACGGCTGCCTGTGGCACCCAGAGATGTACCAGCTCAAGTGGAGACGTGGGGGGGGCCCTTTCGAGCCGCAGTCCGACGGTTCGATGAAGGACCGCCGCGGAAACAGCGTCGCCCTCTGCTCGGGGGTGCCTGCGATGATGTGGGAGCTCTCGGAGGACCCGCGCTGGAACGGGGTCCCCGTCGCAGTGGCATCGTGCTGCGATGCGCCATCCTGGGCCCGGGAGCTGCTGGCCAAGTTCAAGACCAGGGACGGCGACAGATCGCGCGCGCTCAGCGACATCGTGACCGTCTGCCAGATCCACGGCGGCAGCAAGGTGCGCCACTTCGAGGAGATCGCCAGCGCCACCGGGTGCAGCTTCCAGGACATGCTCTTCTTCGACAACGAGCCCGGCAACTGCACCGACGTCGCGGCCCTGGGTGTCACGTCCGTGTTTTGCCCTGGAGGAGCCCTCTTTTCCCCCCGGCCTCCGTCTTCGAGGGACCTCCATCTAGGCCTCGTAGATAGGGTCCGAGTAGATGGTGTCGGAGGATCCCGCTGCATCGCCGATGCATCGACGATGCGGAACCCGATGTTCTCCTCGCCGACGTCGTCGATGCCTTGCCCGTATCGCTTGCGCATCACCAATGCATCGGCGATGCATCGCCGATATATCGGCGATGCGGCAGGATCCTCCGACCCCGTCTCTTCAGACCCCATCTAGGAGGCCTATACTCCAGAGGTTCCCGCAGGCATCCGGAGTTCTAAAGGACGAACGCGTCCAGGAACCCCGACTCTCGAACCTCGAGCCAATCAGCTGGGGGTGGCGGGATTCGACAGGAGGGAAATGTGGGGAAACGGGTGTCTTGCAGCTGTCTCGAGCAGCTGTTGTCGGCCCTGCTGCGCAAGCACTTTGCTCGACACGCCTGCATGGGTGCACTTTGTCGACATGAGGCTCTCGCTTTTTATTGCCGCGCACGTTTGCGTTAATTACAATCGCGGAACATTTACAAAGGTGGACCACCGACTCCAGCGGTTATCAACACAAAGCTCGTCTTCGCCTTGAACTAACCTTTGCACCAACTCTCAACATGTAGACGGTTGGAGCACGGGACGCTTTCAAAATTGGGTTCTCGCCATGGCGCTGCGCACATTCGTCCTGAAAGTTTGCAGTGGTTACAAGGATGGGCGACGGTTTCTTTTCGAAACGGGGTTCTCGCTTGAGACATCGTAGATTAGCAGGGAACATCCACACCGACACAAAGACTCGTCGATTCCCAGGAAGAAAATACGGGAAGCATGGGAAGTGGAGGGGGAGACGAACATCGAGGAAACATAGGAAACTGTAAGGGGGATCCCGGGCGTCGTGTCTATTTGGTTGTGTGTGTGTCTTTCCGCCGGCGCAGTCGCTCTGCCCAGCCGCCGACGCCAAGTGTGTGTGTGTGTGTGTGTGTGTGTGTGTCTGGGCCCCCTTCCAGTTTGGGCCCGAGGGCCAGAAAAGCCTCCACAGGTGCCGCCTGGCCGCTGCGCGGAGGGAGGGCGGCTCCTTTTTGGTTTGCTCGGAATGGTGCTCTCTCTCTCTCGCTCGGGACTTTCCCTGTGCTCACAGCCAGAAGTGCACGGTCAACCCGTATCGCAAGGATGCGCGGTAAGGAGGCCAGGGCTTTGGAGGCCCATGTGAACGTTGTTCGAACGAGGTTGGCCGACGAAAGCGGCCAAAGATGGACCTAATAGGCAGGGATGCGAGGGTACTCCTGGGAAGGTCGCCCACCCTCACTGTGCGGGTTGACCGTAGAGTCCCAGAGATCCGCCGCTCCCAGAGATCCGCCGCTCCCCCAAAAATGCAACACGCCGCGTGTCTGGGGCAGCTTTCGACCTCCGTGGGCCATCGCCATGCCTCGGGGCCGTCACAGAACGACTCGGGGCGCAGCGCCGGCCCTGTGGAAGGGATCCAGGCCTCTAGGGCCCACGCACCAAAAACCTTGGGGCGGTCGGATGCCTGGTGTTGTGCACTTGTTGTGCGGGTGGGGGGCGGCCCTTTTTTTCAAGACATGGATCTCGCTGGGCACCTCGCTGAGTTGTGTGAGCACGCGCGCGCCGGACGGTACGTGCTAGAAGGATGTGAGGCAGCTCCTGTGCAGCACGACGCTCTCGCCCGAATGGCAGGCCCACGGGGTGCTGGTCTTTCAAGTGGGTGCTCCGTCCTTCCTGTGGCGAAAGCAGGGGGCGAGCAGGGACCTGCGAGGAGGCGACTTGTCACGAGAGGGTGTCTTGCAGCATCGTTGATCCACCTTCGGTTTGCGATGGTCCTCCTTCTCCTCCCCCACTCCCGTCCTCCTGCTCCTCTTCCTCCTCCTCCTCCTCCTCCTCCTCCTGCGCCTCTTGATCTGCCGCACGCTCAGTGGATTGGGTGGGATATTTTCACCCCCGCCCCTTGAATGCTTGGCTCCATCACATCTTCGGCGCGGCGCCCCACCACTACAGACAGGCCGCAGCCGTGGCGTCCACCGAGACCCCGACAAGGTGGAGCCCAGAGCTGGAACACGACGCGGCGTACCCGTACACATCATAGAATGGGCGCGGGGCGTGCGACGGTGGATAGCGGCCACCAAGCTCAGCGCGGAGCTCCACGGGCCCATGCTGAGCCTCGCCCTCAGCGCGACGGCGCGGACCATCGCAGACGAGGTCTCAGTGGAGATCCTGCAGCATGGCGCGGTGCTGGAGTCCAGCAGCTGGACCTGTGTGACTGGTGGGGCGCTGCGACGAGGACAGGGGTGGATGCCCTCTTGGCGGTGTTGCTCGCCAGGTTCCCTGTCGACCCCGAGGCGCAGACAGGTCTGGATTTGTTCAGGTTCGCGCCGAGCCGCGACCTCCATTCTTTTAGGATAATCGCTGTCGAGGTCCTCGCCCATCCCCCAAGGGTGCGGGTTGCAAGCCGCGCCCTTTGCACACCGCGCACCCTTCGGAGTCGGCGGCGCAATGTCCAGGAGCCCTTACCTCCAGGACCCCTCCTCTTCGTGATGCCCCCCCCCCCCCCCCCCCTCGGAGGGAACCAACATTCGCGGCTCCCGGCCAGGCTCGTCCTGGGCCCAAGATCGGCGTCGGCGCGGAAACAAACACGTATGCCTGCCCAGGCCAGAGCGTAGGCGCTGGATCCTGTGCCCTGGGTGGGCCTGGCCGGGATCGGTGCAGGTGCACACCTGGGCTTGCAAGGGGAGCGGCGATCGCGCCACGAGCGCCTCTGGTGGCGGCGCTGGAGCCCCGAAAAAGGCTCCTCCTCCGCCCCTTCCTCTTCCATGTTGTTCCCCTCGCTCCTTTTCCTCCTCCTCCTCCTCCTCCTCTTTTTTCTCCTCCTCCGCCTCATCCTCATCCTCATTCTCGTCCTAACCCTCCTCTTCGCTCCTCCCCTGCTTCGCTCCTCCTCCAAGGCTGGCTTCCTCGTTCTCCGTGCCCCTCCCGGCGAGGAATCACGGAGCGCGTCTGGCAGGACGCGCTGCGGGCGTTCCCGGCGCCCCGCGGCGCCCTGGTGCGGTGCGACTGAGCCCCGCGTGGGCGCCCGTCCTTTTTGGGCCGCGCGCAAGATTTCGGGGGCGGCCAATCGCAGGGGGGGATGATGAATACAGTCAAAAAACTTTAATAAGGACGCGCGACTTTGCTCAGGGTGCCCTTGCGTCCTTGATCTTCCTTGTTTTCGCGTCCCTGAGATTTTCGTCGTCCGCCGCCCCAGAAATCCCACCTTCGGCTTCCAAGGGTCTTGCGTCCTTACCGCGCGTCCTTATTAGGGTTTTTGACTGTAGGGGGAGGGGCGGGGTGAGTACCATGGCCGGGGCCATGATGTCCCTTCCCTGGCTCCGTTCAGTGCGTTCTTTCGTCCTCGCACATACTTCGGGCCACGGGCCACGATTTTTGCGAGCCCCCCTCTGGACGCCCTCCTCCTTGGCCGCCCCCGAGGAGTAGCACCCTTCGCCGGAGCGGCTTCCGGGTGCGGGGCCACAGGGGCACCCCCATTAGGGATTAATTCCTGGGAGGTGAAATCCGGCATGTCCGTGGTCGAAAACCAGCCCACACATGCATACAGTCGGGGCCTTGAAGAAAGAACGCTTTTCGTTGGGGATGGGCTCGGTGTTCCTTGATTGTTTAACAGTTTGCCTCAGGTCTTCCTGATTCCATGGGACATCGATGTTTAACTTATGAGAATAAGGGGCCTCGTTCCTTATTTAGGGTTCCTTGGGTCAACGCCTCGACTGTAATCCCGCATCATCTGGTTTACTTCTGTCTGATGAAGATTCGTCTGGCTTGATGCTACATAGGCAGGGAGGCCAAGCGCCCCCAGACGCTGCATCGGCAGCGGGGCATGGCTGCATCACTACCAGGCAATCAATCAAAGGTCCCCGTGCGCACCGCTCAAACCGTACATGGTGCCGACGAGCGGCGGCTGAATGTCAGAATTCAGGACTCACCCCCATGGCCAACAGATCGTCCCTTCACTGGGCTTCGCAGCCTTGGACGGTTTGTTGTTCTCACGAATGCCTGTCGAGAGTTGCCCCCGTACCCCAGCATTGGCGGGCGCGCGTAGGAGGAGGAGGCGGAGGAGGAGGAGGAGGAGGAGGAGGAGGAGGAGGAGGAGGAGGAGAGGCGGAGGAGGAGGAGGAGGAGAGGGAGGGGAGGAGGAGGAGAGGAGGAGGAGGAGGATGAGAGGGAGGAGGAGGAGGAGGGAGGAGGAGGCGGAGGAGGAGGAGGAAGGAGGAGGAGGAGGAGGAGGAGGAGGAGGGAGAGGAGGAGGAGGAGGAGGATGGAGGAGGAGGGAGGATGGAGGATGGAGGTGGAGGATGAGGATGAGGAGGGAGGAGGAGGGGAGGAGGAGGAGGAGGAGGAGGAGGAGGAGTGAGGAGGAGGAGGAGGAGGAGAGAGGAGGAGGAGGAGGATGGAGGAGTGGATTTGCCCTCCACCAGGCCGCGCACCAGAGGCCACTCGTGCCCCGGGGGCCACCTGCCCGTGCCCGTGGCTGGGTCCCCCGCGGGCCCGCGGGGGCGCGTCGGGCGCTGCGGCCGTCCTCAGGCCTGCAGTGAGGAGGGCGGGCGCGGCGGGGAGCGGCACGGGGCGAGGCTCGGGGGGGGGGGGCTTGGCATCGCTCGGACGTGTGCATTTTTCCTTCGGCGAAGACCATCGAGGAGCATCCTTGATCATTGGGCGAAGAAAGAACCACGCACGACGCCGAAGAGAGCACAGGGAATGGGCGTCCGAGCGATGGCCAGGGGGGGGGGGAGTGGCTCAGGGGGCAGCGCGGAGGAGGAGGAGGAGGAGGAGGAGGAGGAGGAGGAGGAGGAGGAGGAGGAGGAGGAGGAGGAGGAGGAGGAGGAGGAGGAGGAGGAGCAGGAGGAGGAGGAGGAGGAGGAGGAGGGAGGAGGAGGATGAGGAGGAATACGGGCCCGGGGTGGCCCTCCCCGCCGCCCGGGAGCGCGCGGCCTCGCCCCGTCCGTGGCCCGTCGCCGGTCCATCGGCGACGCTTCGCCGCAGGGTTCGAGCTGAGCGGTGTGCTCGGCAAGTTCGTGGACCGTTTTCGTTTGGGCTTCGTGTTGCAGCAGCTGTGGAACTAAGGCAGAACGAGGGATGACGAAAAAACAAAGCGAAAACGGAAAGCACTGTTTAAGTCGAGCCCTGCTTCGCCGATGCTGACTCAACCCGAAGGCCCAAATTGACCCTCGATTTCCAGTGGGGGGGGGTCGGGAAACATCGAGAGAAAACACACGTGGAACCCTTACCCCCCCCCACCCGAAATTCGGGTCTTCGGGTTGGGTTGGGGTGGTCTGGTAGGTAGTCATGAGCGGTGTGCTCGGCAAGTTCGTGGACCGTTTCCGTTTTGGCTTCGGGTTGCAGCAAGTGTGGAACGAAGGCAGAACTCGGAGCGTGAATGACCTACCCCGCTTTCGCTTCCAGGAAAAACCAAGTCGTTCCACGCGCCTCCTCGTCAAGCGGCCTGACCAGCACAGGCCGCAGTCTGGCATCGCCTGGCATCTCTTGGAAGCGAGGGCTGTCAAAAGCGAGGTGGGTTTGTGTTCCTCCTGAGAACGAGGAGGGAGGACGAAAAAGCAGAGCGAAAACGGAACGCACTGCTTTTCACTCGAGCCCCGCTTCGCCGCTGCCGACTCGACGCGCTGCCCCCCGAGGCGGGGCCCCGTCGCCAGCGTGGAGCCCCTCGGAGGGCGGGCGGGCGCGGCGGAGAGGCGAGGAGGGGAGCGCGGCAGAGGCCCCGACCCCCGCCCCGTCGGATCTCGTCGGGGGTTGCAAAAAGGATTGCAAAAAGGATTGCAAAAAGGCTTTTTTGTTGTGCAATCCTTCGAAGGATTGCAAAAAGGAAGGTTTTTTTTTTGCAATCCGTTTTTTTTTTTTTGCAATCCAGGGTTTTTTTGCAATCCTAGGTTTTTTTGTTCAATCCAGGTTTTTTTTGCAATCCAATGGATCGATTGTTGCTGGCGTCGAGGCTGACCTGGCGTCGAGGTGGTAGATTTTTGCTGGCGTCGAGGATCGATGTTTGCTGGCGGCGAGGATAACTTTCGTCCGGACGAGGCCAGGACGAGGCTAAATCTGTTCCAGCGCGTGCCGGAACGCTGTAGCGCTCCAGAACGCCCCGAGAGGGCCGCAGCGCCCGAGACGCCCTCCATAGCCGCCTGATCTCAGAGATGTTCCACCTATCTTCGCCCGATGCTATACTCGCCCTGGCTTCGTCCTGCTAGCTCCCGGAGAACGGAAAGTGGATGCGTGGGCCCTCGGTGGCATCAGTGCTCACGCTGGGTGCACCTAGGGCGGCCCTCTTGGGGGCCCGGTGGGCGCGCCCCTCGCCACGACCTATCGCTCGTACATCGTTAAATGCCCGTTTGGGGGACCTTTCTGGGGCCCACCTAACGGATCTGTTCGACCCCAGTTCGACTCAAGTTCGGCCCAAGTTCGACTCAGGTCCGACTCAGGTTCGACTCAAGATCGACTCACATCGACGGACGTTCGACGCAGCTTCGACGCACGAGAGGAGCGAGTGGCTCCAGGAAGGTCCCCAGAATGAGCAGCCGAACGTCGCTCCCCTCTCCCCGCTTTCCTTTTTTTGACGAACGATCAACACGCACCCATACCCATAGGGGGGACGAAATGAGCTGTGGGTGCGTGTTGTCGGATGGGGGTCCCCGCTCGAACGGGAGCCTTCCCAGGGGTCCGACAACCCGCACCCATACCCATAGCCAGCCCTTCTCCCTCCGACCTCCCTATGGGTATGGGTGTGTGTTGTTCGTTCGTCATTTTTTGGGGGGCTCCCCTCCGGAGGCCCTCGCCGCCGCCGCTCGCCTTCGCCTGCGAGGCGCGGGGGCGCGCGGCGAGTGCGGCAGCGCCGCGGCAGCTCGCCGCGGGTGTTGCCGCCGGCGCGCCCGCAGGGGCGCGCGTGCAACAAAAAGCGTTCCGCGCGCGCTGCTTCTGTCTGCACTGCTCCATGGGGAGCGTCTGGAACCAGAGATGCCTCAATCGGGGGAGCGTAAGACCCGGGTTTGCCAGGACTCGGGTTCGCCATCGTTTTTTGACGACCGCGCCTCGGATTTTGACGAAGAGGAGTTTCGTGGGATGTCTGCAGCGGGAGGCCTCGTCAAAATGCAGGCTCGGCCTCGTCATTTTTTGACGACCTCGTCGGGGATTTCCGAGTCCCCTGTACCCGGGTCTTACGCCCTCCTGACTCAAGGAAACGTCAGCCAGTACGATTGGGCGACACGTGCATGCGAGAGTGTGCGAGTGTGCCCCTGGCATCGCTCGGACGTGCGCACCTGGCATCGCTCGGACGTGTGCATTTTTCTTTCGGCGAGGACCATCGAGGAGCATCCTTGATCATTGGGCGAGAAAGCCACGCACGACACCGCAACAAAAACACAGGGAATGGACGTCCGAGCGATGGCGAGGTCAGAATGTGCGAATGCGCCACCTGTAGCCACAACGGCTCGCCCTTGGGGGGCCCAGGCCACGCTGGGTTCGCTTCCGTTCTCCCTGCCGCGCGGGCGAGGACCATCGAGGAGCATCCTTGATCATTTGGCAACAAAAAAAAGCCACGCACGAAGCCGATTAAAGCACAGGGAATGGACGTCCGAGCGACGGCCAGCCTCCGCGTGGGCCGCGTGCGGCCCGTGGGGTCCTGGCGGCCCCTGCAGCGTGGGCGGCCTTCCTTTGGGCGCCCGTCCTCGTCGGCTGGACTCCGCTTGCAAATTCTTGGCGGCGCCAGCCTGGGCCCTGGGTCACAGCCGTGGGCCCTCAGGGGGCCTCGGGCCTCTGTGTTCTTAGTTTTCGGCCTCCTGGAAGGCCCTCGTCGCCACCGCTGGATTCGCCTCGGAGTCCTGGTCAGAACGCACCCCAGGAGAGGCCTGGGGAGTAGCATTATCGGTACCTTTTGGTTTCCCCATGCCCTGGGGCGCGCTACTTATTTGAACCCAATAAGGTCAGCGTTGCACCGCTCCTGAACCCCTTTAATTCAGCGCCCGACCACCAGCATCATCATCGTCGTCATCGTCGTCATCA